TGAAACAGGAATTGTCAATAAAATATTGTCATCAAGAACATTTGCCGCCATAAGTCGACTTAATTTTGGCATTTATTTGAATAGTTTTTCGGTGTTTTTATATCGTATGTTTAGCCGCAAAGAAAACATAGCTATTAATCACACAAATCAGGTATGAATATTACAAAATGTTTACATTTTATATGATTTTAACATGGTAATTGAGTGCTATATTTAAAATTATATTTTATTTTAATAATCTAGTTACAAAACTATTTTGTGGACATGACACTCGCGGTAATCGTGTCATACGTGCTCTATATGTTGATTGACTTTCCGGTCATTAATTTATTGGATAGTCTTAGAAAACCAATGTATACGACAGATACAAATAAATTGGATAATCGTTATAAAGATTATACTAATGACAGTGAGTTAGTTATACTCAACAAACGTCCGCACAAATATGTTTTTGAATAAATAAATGGTGCAAAATTGTAATAAAATTTATTTTGCAAAATTGTATTTAACCTACATAAGCATTTATATAATATTTCATTCAACTTTCTATTATTTATGCAGTAATGAATTAAATACCGCTAAGTATTAATTAAATAATAAATAACTATAATTATGTATTTTGCGATTATGTATATCTAAAACAATTATTCAATAGTGTTTTGTAATGCTATTTATTTTTTAAATAAACTTTTATGAACAATATTGTTGTGTCATAACTCGCGCAGTAACATATTAATATTGTATATTACTGCAAACCCCGTCACCAGGATGTATTTTAATCTTAACATATAAATGAAATATTATTATGTCATTCAGTATCTGTTTAATTGTATATACAGTAAATGCAGTCACATTATTATTTAAATAAAACTCAACTGGTAGATTTGATAATAGTTTGGATATATTGAATTACATAAACAATATGAATATGAGTAGAAAGATAGACAATTTTGTGCAGACAGTGAGGGGACGGCTATTCCCAAAGGAGTGGGACCCCGCGTTCATTGAGTACGCGATGGACTACCAGCCTGGACCGGCAGATCGCCTATTGCTGACGTACCCCAAATGTGGCACATGGTGGACCCTGTACATTTTGTTGTCAATCGTAAACGCTGGCAGCATACCGAAAAGCACCCCGGACTATGCAAATTACTTATTGGAACGGAAAGGCCCTGAATCGGTGGACAGGGAGAACGGGGCGCACGCGGACAGGGAGGTGAAGATTATACGGTCGCACATGTGGTTCAAAATATTCACATTTCACTCGACCGCTAAATATTTAGTGGTTTTGCGAAACCCTAAAGACGTTTGCGTTTCTCATTATTATTACTTCAAAAAACTAAACAATTTAGACATCAGTTTTGAGAGGTATTTCCGGTTGTATATGTCTCGAGGCTATCCATGCGGCGACTACTTTGAGGCCACCCTCTCGTATTGGGAGCACCGGTTGGATGGGAACTGTACTCTCATTACCTATGAGGAGATGGTAGCGAATCCGAGGGACAGTATTGTGAGAATCGCCTCATTCTTGGGCACCAAATACGTGCACCGACTGTACGACCGGTGCGGAGACACCACTACTGATGAGATCCTATTGGATCGCATTATAAGGACTTCCAGTTTTGAAGCCATGAAAAGCAGTCAAACCACAAGTGATG